TTTATATATTTAGGTTTAAATTTTTCAGTTAAAACTTATGGGAATCTGGGAGCCTTGATTGGTACGATGATATTTCTACTGTGCAGAGACATCTCTCATATTTATAATAATATGGCCCTTCTCTTGCCTACCTCTGAAGATGCATAGAACATGAGACACTGCAAACTGCAGCACAATGTTGTCATCACCATTTCCCTTGGACTTAGATGTAGAAAATTCCAATCTCTTTTTCTTTTTTTTTAACCATGAAATTACGTCTATGCTCTTGCTGTCTTTATACTTTTGTTCATTGTACTTTAATTTATACTTGTATGTATATTAAATGTAATATTTAAGAAAATAATACATGCACTATTACATTAGGTAAGAAAAAGAATAGAAATTTAGACTGTGTAAATATTCCAAGTAATTTTTTTAAAAATCAATTTTTCCTTTAAAACATTGCCACTCCTAATAGCAGGGTAGAATACAAGTGTCTGGCTTAGGGAAAATACAATGGTCCATCTGTTAAAGTATCTTATGAAATCCATCTTTAATTCACTCAGATTTTATTGTGGGTTGTGCGTTTTTACATTTTTTCTCTCACAGTCAAGAATCAGATTTCAGACTTGACTTTTCCTTACTTCACAAGGCTAGGTTTGATTCACATCCATTGCCAAATGCCAGGCAGCTATACAGAAGTTAGAAAAGTTGGGCTAGTTGCTGGTGCACACTGATTGGCTTTTCAGAATGTTTCCTTGGCAAATGCTTAGTCCTGGGTAAAGCATTAATTCCATCACTACCCCCCATTTCTGTATTTTACTCTTAATATCAAAATAAAAATCTTAAAAAGTACTACACATGAATCACACACACTGATATACACACACATATACACACACAAAAAAAAAACCTTGAAGCATGATTTCCTAATTGAATAAGCTAAATGTATGGATTGTTTACAATTAAAATTCAGAGGAAAACTTAGTTATCTGCAACTGATTAGGAACAGGTACACAGCACACAATATATATGAGGAAATGCCCAGGAAAACATTTCCTCATGGTAGCTAAAATGTAAAATGAAATTATTTTATTTCTAATTCAATATTTATTTGAAAAACCATGTATATTATTTTCCTCCAGATTTCCTCTGTGACTAAACTTGTAAAAACTATGCTCTTAATTGATTAGTTTTATTCTACACTGGATAATTCTTAGACCTAAGTTTTTTCATAATGTCTTTTCTAGGAACTTCTCAATCTCAGAGGGAGTAAAAACCCAGAACATATATTTTAAAGTGGCTTTATATACTAAAGTGGCTTTATATACTTAGATAACTAAATAGTCCTGTGATAACAATAAAAATAATGTTTCATCATTTGCATGAACCTTGAAATGTGACCCTGCCATCTGGCGCCAAGAGTCTCTGCTCTCTACTTCTCCCAAAAATCCATGCTTGGTCTTGGTTTTGTCTCTACTAATTTGGTCATGCACTGAGATGCCCTGAAACCTGAAATCCTTAGACGTGAAACATCAACTATAATACCTTCCCAAGATGATTACAGAGCCAGTCTGTCCCTTGTGGACTAAAAATGGTCCAAAAAAAAAAAAAAGGAACAGATTTTATGGGCTTTCAGACCCTACCTTCATCATGAGACTTCATCCAATTATATTACTGATGATATCTCTGACACCCCTGCTAACTAAAAATTGACTCCAAAAGCAATTTTCTCATCAGTTTCACATCAGGTCCTTGGGAAGGAAATGATTCCTGTCTCACTGAGTTCTATAATACTACCTGCTCCAACACATACAAAGGCAACCCTACACACACCCACACCCACACACAGAGACACACTCACACACACAGCCATGTACACACAGACATTCCCACACACCCACACACACATCAACACACACACAATGCTTTCTCAAAGTAAGAAGGCAAACCCTTCGATCCTGCCTGTTCTACTCTGGAAATAAATAAAGGGTCCTATGTTAGGTAGGCTTAGCTAAGAATGTTCTTTCCCTGTGCACATAGAAGCTTTTTTCTTGTTTTTTTTTTCCTTTTCCTGCAAGATGCACATTCACTTTCAGGATTTCTAAGTCTGATGAGTTTTTAAGTAATATTCTCTGTAGCAAACAATTCCCAAACCATTCCCCCAACAATTTTATGGCAAAGTGTCCCACCTCTCTTTGCAATCTCTATTCTTTGATCACCCCACATGCATCACCATGATAAAGCCCTGAAATGTTAGGAAGAGAAGCAGTCACTCTGGTCATCATATAAATCAGTAGTGGCAGATAAGAGAAGAAACCTGCCCCACCACACTCATTCCCACGGGGACTCCTCCACCTGGATCTCTGTGTAAACACCTTATATTTTATTATTTATACATCACCCCAACAATAAAAAGTAAGAATAGGCAATGGGCCCAAGAAATATAGAAAATAAAACACAAGAAAAGGAAATTATTGACATCCAGGAACTTGGACTTCATTAATCTCCCCACACCCATAAGAGGGTCAAATTATTTAGCCCTATTTTACAAAATGATCCAAGATCACATTAATACCAGAACTAAAGATAGAATCAATATGCGAAAACACCAGATGTGCTTCCTTCATATAATGCCACCTTGTACATTTAAGGAACTTTTCCATACATGGAACAGGAGAGCATTGGCCTGAGGATGGGCCTAGAATCTTCTCTCTATAATGGCTCCTGGCATTTAATTAACTTCTACTTTGTGCTAGATTCTTTTTTATGCTATTCTATTGGTGCCTTATGAGTATACGTTACACGATAGTGGGATTCATTATGTCATATTCATATGTGCACCCCTTTATTGATTGGTTTGTTTGTTTTGGATGACTCACCTCCGACTCCGAGCCAAGCACTGAAGTAGATCTAATTCCCCCTAAATTAAAAATGAGGAAACCAAGGTCGTTAAGTGACGTTAAGTGACTCACCTCCAATCGAACATGCTGTGAATGGCAAGGCCATGTCCCAAAGGGAAGTCTGACTCCAAAGCTCAGCCTCCTTCCCTTAGGGGAACCTGTCCATGTGGTCATCATATACAGCAGCACATACTTTCCCTCACAATTATTTAGGCAGTCAGATGAGATTGATTTTCACATAACTGAAGACATATACATTAGGAGAAGACACAGTGAGAAGCAGGTAGAAGGGAAGAAGGATCAGACTTGTGAAAGGCTTGAATTCTGTGAACACATTGACTCTTTCCTGAGACTGACATATGGAGGAAATGCAGACTTGAGTTCTCTTCTTATCAGACTCTAGAAACTGTGCCAAGCCTTTGCAGGAACAGCCTCACAGTAGCAGAGCTGGTGGGTGTTCTGCTCCTCAGCTTGTCTTTTACAGAATGAGGAAACAAAACGTAATAGCCACATACCCTAAAGAAATCCACATACCCATTCTTGAAAGCACAGGGTAAATTGAAACACACCCAAAATGGCACTCTATGGTATGAAGGAGGAGAGGGTTAGATGCAAAGGCAGAGACTGGCACCTTTTCTCAGTTCACTGTCCTTTGAGAGTCCTGTCTTCACAAAGGTCTGAGGCATTGTTGATGCATCTGAGAGAGGGGAAACCTAGTTCATGGGTATCCACCGCCTTACAAGTGATTGAGTTGCCTGGCTGCTTTAAAAATGATCACAAACTTGGTAGCTTGAAACGACAGAAATTCTCACAGTTCTGGTGACCTGAGATCTGAAACCAAGATGTTGGCAGGGTGAGGGGTCCTTCCTGAGAATCTAGGAGAGAATCCACTCCATGCCTCTCTCCTGGCTTGCAGAAATGCTAGGCATTCCTTTGCTTGAGGAGGCAGCACATCAACCTCAGCCTTCACCTTTGCATGATCTTTCCCTTTGTGTGTGTCTGTGTCTCAAATCCTTCCTTTCTCTTGAAAGGACACTAGTTCCTTTCAAGGTCCTGCCCCACATCCGGGGTGATCTCAGCTGAAGATCCTAACTTCATTGCATCTGCAAAGACCCTATTTCCGAACCAGGCCACATTCACAGGTACTAGGGGCTAGGATTTGAATGTATTTTTGGAGGACACAATTCAACCCACTCCTGGAATGTTAGAAAAGGCTGTACTTGCTAATTCGGGTCACTTACGTGAGGAAGCTCAAAATAGACATAACCTTAATGTTTCCACGATATTCAGATCTAAGTGGCACAAGGGTAGGAATTAAACACAGTTACGGAATTTCCACACTCCAAGTTAAGAGAACACCACCTGCCCACTCCCACTGAGCTACTCATCTCACTTTCGGAGTCAGAAATATTTCTACTTGTGACCTGTTATAATATAAAATATCACTGAGAACAGTTTTTTTTCACCTAGTGAATTTTTCTTGTTTGGCCTGAGCCAACAAACATTCATAAGAAACAACTTACATGTGCATGCCCCTGGAGATACAGCTGTGGGATTCTCGTGTGTTTATTCGAGATAGATAAGGTAACACCATAGAAGAAACACGTGTCCTTGTTGGGCTAAAGCCTATCAGGATGCAATGTTACACATAAACAGAAATCAAAACAGGTGCCTTTCTGTGAAATCATGACAACAAGAATATCCAAGCTAAGTCCCTTCCGGGTGGCTTTATAAATACTAGAATATTCACATGGTACTGTATTGCTTGTCCAAGCAGTCTCCTGATTTTATCCAAATAAATTTATGCTGGTTTCAGATTTTATTATAGATATTTTGTAGCCTGCTGGAAATGAGTGCTGTTATACAAAATAAAACCAGATGAAGTAGAGCTAAATTCTGCAAGGGCCAGGGCAGGTATTGATAAGGAGTATAACTTCCACCTGGGAAAGTATGTATAAGAAAGAAAGAAAAAGTCTTGTAGAAGTTGCAGAGCCTATGTTCCAGAATGGATGTGCGAGAGGCAGAATGGGGAGTGAGACAAGACCTGAAGCCTTGACATTTCAATACGTTGTTTTAATAAAGATATCATCTGATATTTTTCATGTGTTTACTGCTGACCTGCTCTGAAGAAGAACTTCCAAGCAGAACAATGTCTTCCCGAGCACATCTTTCAAACTCTTTGACGTAAGCAGGGGTAGTTTCATCGGCCTCTTTGTGGAATCCATGACTCTTACGGGAACCTGTGGGTGCCTCAGAATCCCATGTGTCCTCATGGTTGCTCTCATCTGTTCACCCAAGAAGATGATGTGGAATGTCACCTGCTTGCATCACTTGAATGTTGACCAAGCACACAGTCTGCCACCTGCTTTACTTCTTGTCTGGAGTAATTTTTTTTTTCTTTTGATACCAGGTATGGAACCCAGGGGTGCTTAACCACTGAGCCACATCCCCAGCCCTTTTTAATATTTTATTTAGAAACAGGGTCTCTCTGAGTTGCTGAAGGCCTCGCTAAGTTGCTAAGGCTGGCTTTGAACTTGCAATCCTCCTGCCTCAGCTTCCCAAGCCGCTGGGATTACAGGCGTGAGCCACCATGCCCAACTGGAGAAACTTTGATTTTTTTTTTAACAAGCTATAACTTGTCAAATTATTTTCTATTTAATGTATTAAGAAAAAACATTAAATACCAGATGTTTTTAAGATTAAAAAAAAACAGCAAACTTCGTTCATCTCATGATGTTTACAAACTGTATCTGTGCATTAAAGCCTTTTTCCTACTTACCAGATAAATCCTGAAGGGTGCATACTGTGCTTTACTGTGCATTAATATTACATGTTGTTTACTTCAACATCTTACCACTTATTTGCTGGGATGCTGAAACCAGTTTGGGAGATGAATAGGTTTAGGAGAAGCCAAAGCTCTTTGAATCATTTCCTTAAGTTAAGATCTGCCCCCCAAATGGCTCCTGAGCTCTGCACACATAGGGCAACTTCATTTGGTCCACCTTGTTTATGTGCATGGAAATGCCAGCAATTATAAAATGCTATGTGTGCTTTACCTATCACCTGAGAACAATATCACCTACGAAGGTATTATTCACTTAGCCACATACCTCCTGAATATAAAATATCTTTCAGTCTCTAAAAAATGCTTAAAGGTGTACTATGAAAGTTTCCAAGTCTCTGAGGCTAGAATTTAATAAAAAGCAGTGGAAGGGAGCTTCTCTAATAGGAGGGAGATAGGCTGGGTGCAGGCCAGACCCTGGGCAGCAGTTTCAGAGGATGGCTGGTGGCCTTCAGTGCCCACTGAGACACTGTATTACCTTGTTATGTCTTTAAGCTTTCTAAGATCAGGTAAATTCTCTTACAGTTGATCAAATGCCTGACTATCCTGTCAATTCTATAAGACTTCTGTATATCCCTAAATGGTTTTTAGAAGACTTAGCATTACAATTTATAAATACATGACTTGGGTGGTTTCAAAGGATCCAAGCAGAAAGAACTGTCAGTATGGAAAGGAAAAACTAGGCATAAAAGTTCCCAACTGAATGCCCAGCACAATAAGGCAATCCACATACATCTGCTGACTCAGAAAGGACACTAAACATAAGAGCACTGGCTTCTGAAGAACTATTTGTGATGCTTTAAGTTCCAGCTTGACCAGGCTACCATGTCCGGTTGTTTGGTAGACGCCAGATCACATGCGAGCATGAAGACATATTTTAGATGTGATCAATATTTAAACCAGTAGACTCTGAATAAAGCAGATTGCTTTTCACAATATGTGTGAGCCTCAGTCAGTCAGTTGAAGGTCTAAAATTAAAGACTGAGGCTTCCTAAAGAAGCAGGAATTTGGTCTCCAGACCACAGTGTGGAAACCCTGCTTGAGTTTCCAATCTGTTGGGCTGCCTTGCAAATTTTGGTCTAAAGATAGCAGTATCAACTCTTCCCTGATGCTCCAGGTTGCTAGTCTTCCCTAAGACTTAGAGACTTGCCAGCCCCCACCGTGTGTGAATCAATTTTTAAAAACAACCCCACCCCACCCCCGCCCCGAATTCTACTATATCTGCTTCTCTAGAAGATCTTATATACCATTTGAATTTGGAATCCCTCAAAATATATACATAGCTGGCTTAAAAATTGAGTTCGCTCCATTTATTCATGTGGAAAGAAATAAGACAAGCTACACAAATTTGTACCAGAGAAGGGAAGGTATACCCAGGCAGGAATCAAATTCAGGGAGGTTAGTATTCTATAAATAGGGATTGATCTATAGAGTTGTTATGAGGTTTAAATAAGTTATTATTTACTGTATTTAGAACAGTGTTTAAGATAGTGCCAGGCACTTAGAAAGCACTCAAATATTTAACTAATATTGATATTTTCATCATCATCATTAACAGCAACTTCATTATTCTAGGTATGTGGTTTTTATATCTGCTCAGATATTAATTAATATTTTAATCTTCACAGCTACTCCATGTGGCAGGGATTATATGCCCATTTGGCAGAAAAGGAAAAGAAAGCTTAATAAATTGATTCAAGGTCACACAGCTAGTAAATGGTGAATCCCAAGCATAAACTCAACAGAGTTAAGCACCTATAACTATTATAGCATTAATCACTACCAGCCCCTTCTCTTATGGGCTTTAAGACGTTTTTCAATGAGGAAGAACAAATGATTCCTGAGAACTAAGCACACACTGTGAAAAAAATAGAAGGATTCTCCATGAATTCAACCCCATGCATAGAGGGCAACTTTCATTTAATGCTTTGTTTAAAAACTTACATTATGGAATCTGACACAAATTATATGTGTTAAAATAAGGACTTAAAACTTAGTTTTTAAAGCATGACTTTTATATTTCTAGTTGAATACATATAGTAATCATGAAGAACCTAACATTTAGAAATATGAATTCCCCTCTAAGGTTGGGAACAATACACTATTTACCTCCCATCACTCCATAGCACCTGTTTAAAAGCAAAGACAGAGTCTTTCCAAAGAACATCACATAGCTTCATAAATTAGTGACTCCAAATATGCACATTCCCTTATAGGATCCTGCAATAGTAAGTCTTAAATCATTTTTGTCATTTGGGCTTACAAATTGCATGCAATTGTAGGAAATTGCATCATAATTAATTTTCCCCAAAACTTTAACTACATTTGAATATTTGTAACCATCAAAAGCACAGACAGATCATCACTGAACTGTTAAATATAGAAAAGACAGGTTAGCATTTGTAAGGAACCATGTCAATCAATTTACGACTAATATTAATATAAAAGATTAAAAATAATTGGTCTCTTACCTTGGAATTCTCTTTGTCCACTGTCATCAAACAGTTCCATTAATCGATTATAGAGAGTTCTCTCATCACCTTGTAGGGGTGTTAAAAGAACATAGATGTGATAACTTTCTCATCAGCTAATTTATAGATATGCAGATGTAATTACAAAAATAAATTATTAATCATCATGGCTATTTAGTTATTCCATGGGTCATAGACTCAAATACTACTCAATATGCTCCCTTGTTCTGAAAAAGAATCTTTTGTAAATTGATGGTAATTGGAACAATGATTTTTAAATGTATATTACCAAGCGTGTATAATAGAATACTTTTCCAATAAAATGAACCTCATATTCAATGGATTATGACATCTATTACTCAAGAATCATTTCTGAACAAGTCATTATGGTTTGTCAAATCATACAATAGAATATCTAAGTGTTTGATCAAAGTGAATGTATGTTTTTCATTAGCCATTCTCTATACAGTATACATTTTACTATGTATTTGTAAGAAACAACAAACTTTGGTGGTCTTGTATTCTTTTATATATGTAATTGTCTTGCAATAGCATATATAAAAAGAATCCAGGATAGTTAGTTCTTTTGTGAATTTAAAGCAACAAGCCACGATAGTACCTACCCCTGCAAACAATAATAAAACAAAAACCTCATTATAAAATCATAGATCCAGAAGAAGATTTTAAAGGTTGTTGAAAGCTAGAGTAGTATAGCTCAATAGAGAACTTGCCTTGCATGCTTGAGGTCCTGAGTTCAATCTCTAGCACAGGAAAAAAAAAAAGTCATATAGATATTATTTTAAACCTCTAGATACAACCAAACAAAGAATGTGAGTTGCATAGCCATCCCAGTCTCAGAATTAGAACACCAATACGTACATCAATCACCAAACATGTTTCCCTTCCCAGGTAAGCAACTGAACTGTGCTTGCACTTTCATTATGCTCCTTTAAATATGGCTTGTGAATTTCTCTTATCTGTCACGTGTAGGCCAATACTGAAGATGGTAGTTAATTCTGCAACTTACATCTAAAACTTGGTCAAGTATTCTAGAAGCGCCCTCTGGGATCCACTCTAGTCTATGCTCAGAGACTGGGACACAAGACCGGAAGGCTGAGGCTGCTACTGGGACAGCAGTGTGACACTGTGTGAAAGTGTGACATATGAACACCTCTGAAGTCAGCAGCTTCTGCTCACTGTCCACTCTAGATGGCCTTTTCAAGTGCTCATTGATCTATACATCATCCTCTCTTGCCAAGAGCCATTAGAGACCTCCTACCACCTCCAGCACTGGGGGAAAGGGAGAGGGGCCATCCTGGATTACATTGTGCAGTAGGAAAGCTGCTTCTATTCCAGCATCACCTGAGCCTTTGTAACTCTTAATGGGATACAGAACTTACAAAGTTTATGTATTGCTCATAAAAAGGTTCTCATTCTGAAGTTAACAAGGAGCAACCTCAGAAGTAAAGAGGAGGAACTCTCTGCAGAAATGATAAAAATCCCAGTGGGATTAACTGAGAGACTCCATCTTCACAAGCATTGTTTGGTAAAGGTCAAACCTGCATCCAGATCTCTGCACCACCATGTAGCTCTATAAACCTAGGAAAGTTTGTTAGAGTCTCTCAGCTTTAATCTTGCCCCATGCAATGGGATGGTTGTGAAGGTTACCAAGATAACATGCATGACACCCAGGCCTGACAAATGATAGACATTCCACAGGGGGCAGCACCTCCATTGATTTGCTCATTTATTTGCTTGTTTGTTGTCAACTACTTAGTAATCGTACAAGTGCAGAATTTTTCAATAGTTCGGCTTCTGTCGTCCTGAACCAATATTTTTGTCTTCATGAACTGATAAGTGATAAACAACTTTTGGGGGACCCAAATAAGTGGAACAGAACCCACAATTGCTGTCAAGTTTCTGGTTTTCCAAGTAGCCCAGCTGGGTAGCAGCCCCCTATGAATGGTGCCCCAATGACACTCATTCCTAGAGCATCATAGGGGTTATCTATCAGTAAAAGCAAGACAATGACACCTTAAAATTCAGATTCACCAGTTCTGATTGACCTTCTCCCCCTCCTTCAAAAATTGAGCACATCTCCTAGGGAAAAGACAACTATGTCCAAGATAGGTAAGAATCTGAATTCCAAACCACACTTGTCAGGTCCCTGTGATTTTAGGAAAGATACTAAAATATCACAGGATTTATTTCTCCATCTTAAAAATAAGAATAATGGTGTCCACTTTGAGGGTTTGTGTTGGTCCGTCACTTACTATATCCAACCCAAGATAGTGCCTGAGCAATCAGTGAGTAATAATAACTAAGGTTACAGAAGACCTGATACACGTCAGACATGAAGCCAAGTTAAATTTATTGACTTATTCACTAGTTCAACAAATATTTACCAAGCACATGCTCCAGGCTGGACTAGGCTCTAAGAATTCACTGATGAAGAAAGTAGACATTGTCTGTGCCCTGTGTGCATCCAGCAGATGGTTTAGTAGAGAAGAAACACATTTTACAGGTAATTGTGCCAATACAAAGCTTGCTGACCCTTGTATAAGCTCTCTAAAAGAGGTGTAGAGTGGAAATCACCTGATGGTCAAGGGAGTTGAGAAGTGACATTTCAGATAAGCCTTTGAGAAGACAGGATATTGAGCGGAGGAGGCAGGAAGGAGGCTGTCCCAGCACCTAGGTTTCTGGAAAAGGAAAAGGAGCTCCATGCATAGGAAGAATAAAAAGAAGACAGCGTGGCTAGAACATGGTGAGCAAATGGAAGGCACCAGACGGAAGGTGGGAAAATACAGCCGCACCTGCATAATGACACTCTAGGTGATGATGATCACATACAACCAGAGTTGGCAATCTATGTGGTGTAAGACGGGGATACAGTGACCAACAATTCAGGCTGAGCATCCCTAATCCAAAAATCCCAAATTGTAAATGTTCCATAGGTTTGGATGTCCAAGTGGAAAATTCCATACCATGAGACTTCCGTGTGCAAACTGTACAAATTACTTTCAGGCTACGTGTATCGAGTATATATGAAGCATGAGTGGATTCCACGTTTAGACTGGGTCCTCTCCACAAATCTATCTCATGAGGTATATGTAAATATTCCAAAATCTGGAAAAAATAATCTGAAATCCAAAATACTTTTGATCCCTAGCATTTTGGAATCAGGGATACTCAACTTGTATTTTGTCTTATGAAACTTACCTGACTGTCATTCAACACATCTTACTGTTTTCCTAAATTAGGGAGTTCCTGCATTACAAAAATTCCACCAAATATATCTATCTATTGTAATCTCTAGGAGATTTAAAACGAACTTCAACTGTTAATTCAGTTGAAACCCCACCCCACCCCCAAAGTCACAGGGATGTCTCTCACTCCTCAAGTGTGTTTGGACAAATACGAGGTTGAGATTCTCTATTTTCAAATACACCTTTAGTTTTCAACTATTGACAAAAACTGAAACCAAGACTCTCATTTCATCTTGTATATGCATCTTTTGAAAAAAAATCCATGGACTCTGCATAATTTAAAAATAAATTTGTTTATCGACGGCTATTTCATAAAATATCTTCGCACTGTACTTCAATTCTTTTATTTGTGAGAATTTAGCTCAATCTTTCCATAAAGAAGTATAGATTTAATGACTGGTTCCTGGTTAAAAATATATCATGTTCTGGATTGTGAATGACTCTAATGAGCTTTGTGACTGTCATCATTTCATCACTTATTTTTGTAAACCTTAAGAGTGCTTTAAAAACTATAGAATTGTAGAGTGGTATGCACCTGCAGAGCTATTTGGAATTGTTAATGTATAACTACAACTAGATTTGAGATTGTAGAAGAGGAAATCATCACACCTCTGCACCTCTGTGTTTCAAAAGTTAGGAGGCGATTTCAAGCATTCAGTGAGGGGAATAGTTGCAGGGTATGGAAATCTCATGTGCTAGGTGCACCCTACCGCAGAATGCTCATTTTAAATCAGAGCAGAAAGGCGTTGGCACAGGGATGCTGTCCCTTGGATGCATTACGTGGGGCCTTCTAACGGCACCAGATTGCTCACAGTAGCCTAAGATGAAAGCAGATTGCTGCTTCTTTCATCTGACCAGCTTTCTGTCCTTGATCAAAAATTACCTTCTCTGCCCATCATGTCATCAGTGGTTAAAACTTACCATTTAAATTGTAAGCTGCAGGAGGAGGGAAGATGGCGGCGAGGGGAGTGCATTACCCCCGTGTGCTGCTTCACTGTGTGGGAGTATGACAAGTCAGGACGGCTAAAGGATATCTTGTTAGGAATTTCCAGCAATAGTGGGGTGCGCCGGAACCTGGAGGAAGGATTTCCATCGCATGAGGATCGGCTACGGGGACTCAAACGCGAGAGGTTTGTCGCACGGAGGGTAACACTGCTTATTCAGCAAATCGCCCCGCGGCTAGAGTCTGCAACGCGCGCTGGGATAGAGACGCAGGGTTACAGCGCTGCAGTTTCTGCCAGACGCGCAAGCACCGCACTCAGGGCTGAATTCTGGGTTCGAGACGGGGAAGGAAGCGGTCCATCTCGGTTCTCCACACCGGTCAGACCACAGAGGAGGCCAGCAGCCACCATGTTGGTAAACTGACGTCACCACACCTGTTTTTGACTGACCGCAGCTCATTCAGCCATAGAACAGGTAATTTCAGGCTGCAATTCGCCTGCGGCTTGCAGACAGATTGCTAGGGTTCAGCGCCTGGGGGCTTCTTAAAATCTGATCTTATCGGAGTGAACACGGAGCGCGGGGCGGCCGAGTTCCGGCTCCCGGAACCGTCCCGGAACCGCCCTGGCTCCGGGCTGCGGAGCCTGTGGAGGCTGCTTCTTGGACCCTGCTAATATCAGAGCAAACACGAAACACCAAGAGGCCGAGTTCCGGCTCCCGGAACTGAGCCCGCGGGGACTGCTTCTTGGAGCTTACACTTATAGGAGCTTACACCGAGCACAGAGCGGCCGAGTTCCGGCTCCCAGAACCGTCCCGGAACCGCCCTGGCTCAGGGCTGCGGAGCCCGCGGAGGCTGCTTCTTGG